TAGAAGGGCACACAGAATTCATTTATTTATTAATTGAACACTATCTGAGACATTTAAAATAATCTGCCTTGGAATATTCTCTTTCATTGTTTCTGCCTTAGTAATTCTTGGAGGTCAGATGATCACTGTCTGTCTGTTTTTAGAATGTTTTGCTACGTTGTTGGTTTTTAGCCAAGATATGTGACAGCGGTTTTAATTTTTTTTTCTTTTCCTTTGACTTCTGCATTTTTCTGGACTTCCCAATTGACACTCATAAGTAAAAACTACTTTATATGGCAAATATCTTCATGTAGAAAATACTTCAGAATTGCATTTTCAAAAATATTTCCCATTTATTCTGCTTCTAGGGGCAAGTGTACAGTTGGTAGCCCTGAAAGCCCTGTGCCTGAGTCCAGAATTGGATATAATTATTTTCCGGTATTTATCCTCATTAGCCGACCCCGCAAGTTGCCATGTTATCCATTTCAGTAAAGGACTTTGCTCTTCCAGTTTTGATGGCATTGTCCACAGTTCGGGCCTTTTGTAGACTGTCTCAGCCAGGCCTTCCTGTAGCCGTCTCTCGTGACTGATGGGTGTGCAGCTTTATGTGTGGTCATGTGGGGCTGATAGAGGACAGCGTCAAAGCATGGTTTATGCTCTGGAGCTCTGTATGGGGTCACCTGATTCCTGTGTAGTGATCTTTCCCTTGTTCCACTGTCTCTCTCTATCCCTTCATTTCTACAAATGAATGCCTGAGGTTTCTTCTCCCACTGAATTCCATTTCTGAGTTTCTTTTGCATGGTACCCAACAGCAATCTTCAACTTTTCCTGAAAGGAGACATGGAGTCTCTTATGCATCAGTTTATTTATGCTGTTTGTATTAAATTTCAATAACCATTCAGAAGATTCATTATTGTCCTTTTAAATGACCCGTCTTCTGGCCATGACAACCACACTATCCATTAGGTAATCATTTGTGATGCTTGTTGTTGTTTTATAAGACAAGTGACAAGTTCTCTCTCTATAGTCCTGGCTGTCCTGGAGCTTGTTATGTAGGTCAGGCTGGCCTCAAATGCACAGACAGCTACCTGCCTCTGCCTCCCAAATTCTGGGACTAAAGGCATGCACCTCCACGCTATGTAATTTAAAATAAATGTAGACAATATTAATTAAGTGCTTAGTATATTAACATACCTTGCATTAAAAAATTCAAAGTGAAGCTGTTAATTGAATTTATCAGATATAATTTTGAAAGCATTTGTATTGTTATCTCAAAATTGTCTGCAATGGGCAGCAGAGAGCAACATGAATGTAAGCTAGGCACATGGTTCATTTATTAAATAACCACACACAAAACAACAAAGACAACAACAAAACTCAATGAAATAATAAGTGTGTGGAATTAAAAGAGAAAAACAAATGACAGATGAATACTCAATGGAAGATGTATTGAGGATAAGATAGAGCGTTAGAAAGGGGAAGGAAAATGAAAGTCTAACTAATCAGGTAGCTAGTTACGAAATAAAGTTTCTTGGGTCTTACTCCATCATGTGTCACATGTGTATCTTTGGAAAGCTTTACCTATTTTTAATTTTTTTGGCTAAGAAGGAAAAAATGTAAAATATAAATAATAAAGGTATTATTCTGCATAGGGTTATGGAGGGAATTAGATAGGGTCATATTTGTGAAGTGTTTAGGAGTGTAGACCTTAATGAGTGTGACCATGAATGTGACCAGTGAGATCTATTGATTCTTGGCAACAAATAGAGCCTCACTAAAGTTTGTTTAGATATACAAAGGGTGCTACCATATGAACCACTGCACAGATTTCTTGTTTGATATTATTATGCACACTTTGTTTTCAAATATTTATGTCTAATATTTTTGTACAACTTGTAAAATTATATTAAAATATTAGCTCTTATGTGATATATAATATCTAATTTTATGAAGGTAGTTTTTATGTTCATGACATGGTGTAAGAAGAGGTGAAGGAGTTCAAGATATATAGCAGCATAATGCTAGAATGTAAAAATAGAAACATGTAATGTGTGGGCTGCACCCTTCTTTTCCAGGGACAGAGCACGCTGTGCAAACACTCCACCACTGAATGACATCCTGGGCCCTTTGAGACTGAGAAATACTCCTGAGCAGAAGAGACTTGCAGAAGAGAATAGCATTTGAAGACAGATATGTAATTTCTGAGTAAACTAAAGATACAAGCTTGTAGATGTCACAGCTTAAAGGGGCTCTAAGTTACTTGCTAAGCCTTTGGCTTTCGGCTACACAGCTTTGGTGTTTATCTGTGCTGTCCCATTCTGTTTTGTGTCTGTAAATCTGCATCACACCACTCTGGCTTTTGTTTTCTTTCCTCCTCAATTTCCCCGAGTCTTAATATAGATAATAGTGAAAGAGAGTTGGAGGGTTTGTGTTTCTGCTTGAGCAATTTCTTCATTTTGAGCCTTTAACATTCTTCTGCTCTGTTTTCTGGGATCAGGTCCCAAATAGTACATGCAGGAAGGAACTGGTGCCCTGAGATTTTTCAGAGAGAAGAGTTTATAAGATGCTCACATCCTTCTCTTACAATGATAATTCTCACTGTATGTCTTCAGTGGGTAATGAGAAACTCTTGGTGCCTTATTCACAAGCTTGCTCTCCCTAAGAATAGAAGGTGGGAGCTGGGAAAGTTGGGGTATAGGACTTGAGGGTAGAAGGATGATGCAAAGAATTAGAGAGAAAACAATAGACTCCTTCCAAACCTATTTTGTGAATTCTATGGTGTGGAAATTACCGAATCAACTCTTAAACAGCTGGTTAAAAGTTGGGGTTTGTTCTCAGATGAGCACACAAGGAGCGTGTCTGTGAAAGTCACTGCCTGAAATTTAAAAAAGAGGGGAGGGAGTACTGAGCCCAAAGAACTTATCCAGCAAGCATGAAATGATCTGCTCAGCTCAGCCGCCAAGTACCCGTGAGACTTCAGCAGGTCTCTTGAGCTTAGTTTTGATTTTATCATCAAGCAAGCATTAAAACAAATGACAAGTAACTCAAAATTTTTTGAGGCTCTGGATGTGGCTCAGTCTTTAGTGTGCTTGCCTAGAATGTAGGAAACCATGGGTTCAATCCTCCATACTACATAAACCAGGTGTAGCAACATGTCACAGTAGAAGCTTGGTGTTGGGGAGGTGAAGACAGGAGGATCAGGAGTTCCAGATTATTCTTGGACACAGAAAGTTTGAGTCCATCTCATCTCAAAAATAAACGATAAAGAGAATAAAAAATAAAGAAAAACAAACTTAACTTGTTCTATCCTCTCTCTCTCACTCTGTGTGTGTGTGTATGTGTGTGTGTGTGTGCTCGCACATGCGCGTGTGCTCATGTACATGCCATGGTGCATAAGTGAAGGCTGGTTCTGTTATCCCCTTTGCCTTTCTGTAGCTTCCAGGGATTGTAATCAGGTCCTCAGGCTTGTGTGGCAAACACCTTTACCTTCTAAGTAAGCCATTTTGCTCCCCTGATCATCAAGAATTTTTGATGACGTGAAAAAAAGCTCATGCCATTACAATATCAAATGGAAAAAAGAATAGAGACGTGGCTAAGAAAATTAGCCAGTGTCACTGACATTGCATGGCAGAGACTTAAGCCTAGTCCTGTTTGTCATCAGAGCTTATGGTGGTAACAGCTTCCTGTGATGGAAAAACAGTATTATAATTTAAATGACATTTCTTAGATTTTTTTCTCAGGTATCTGGTAAATCTTCAGACAGAAGAGAGGATTGCTGCTGCTCACTCACTACCCACATCTTCAAGCCGTTCTTGCTCTCAAGGATCTTATCTCATTGCCTGAATGAGATTGATACTCTGGGAAAGCTTGATTGGGGGAAGGGGTTAGTATATCTAGTTCAATGTTTGGCAAGAGGGAAGATGGAACTGCTAACTCTGAAAAAAAAAATGCATGCTGTTTTATCTTTTTTCCTGTTTGCAATGTTTTCTTCCCCTTCCTGGAGCATTTTGCCCTGGGGTAGGAAATTCTTACCGCAGAGGTTTTTTTTTTTTTTTTTTTTTCTTCTCAAATGTAATCTAAGTGCATATTTAACTAGTAACATTGCACAGAACTTTTCTGGAAAGTCAGACTCTCAGATGTGTGACAACTAAGTAGTGATTATCTGGGCTTACACTAACCTAACCCTTCGAAAGTCAGAGAGGACGGAAATTCAGTACTGAACCTCAACAGGTCCGTGACTGAAAGTTCACTGACCTGTCAAAATGCACTCTGTGAATGTAATTAAATTAGGGATTTTCAGATGGACAGTCAAGTGGGGCAAATTAATCACAAAGGACCTTATAAGAGGGAGGCAAAGGGTCACTATCAGGCAGTCGAGTATGACAATGGAGCAAAGGTTAGAATGTTGTACACAGGCCAGACAGCAGAAACATCTTCTGGCTGCTGGAAAAGGTTGTGTCTCCAGAAGACGTAAAAGCCCTGGCCTTGCCTTGACTTTAACCCGTTGCAACACCATTCAGGTTTGTGTTAAGCCATCAATTTTGAGATTGTTAGCGTAACAACAGAAGAGTGGCACATGTATGATGCTTCCAGCACAAGGTATGGACTTCCAGACTAGATAGTAATTTTACCAAAGTTATTTTCAAATAGACACATTTATTCTCTCTCTAAAGCCTGAGGAAGACTGCACACTTTTTTTTTTTTTTTTCAAATTGGGGACCTTTCCAGAAGTCAATTGCGGTTAGGAAATTTACAGGCATGATATCAATATCCCACCTGAGTTTTGAATGGAAGTCTAGGACACATCCATTCAAGATGGATATCTGTCTTGGGCACGTTCAGAGCCTTAGTGTACAGTTTATCTGCGGGCAGCAGGAGAGGAGAACCAATGAGGTGAAAGATAACTCCCTCAGTCTGCTTCCTCTGTCTTTGCTTCAGGGCTTTGCACAGGAAATCTATTGCTGTGTCAAGTCCCACAGAAGTTTCTTCTCTTCCAAGTTGCTAGCGGGACTAAACCACATCGTGTCGAAGGAGGAGACGGGAAGGAGAGGAGTGCTCTCCGCTGATGGGCTAAGGGACACGCTACCACTCAGAAGTCACGAAGGGCGGAGGAAACCTGGTCATGATCAGTGCTGCTCCCCTACCTGTGAGGAGGAAAAGTACCGAGTGAACGGCAGAAAACCCGAAAACAGCAATGTTCTACTTTCGGAGAACTTCTGACCTAGTGGTGCTCTTGATATGGGGAGTCTTTGTGGCTGGTGAGTCTGAATTTTCTTTGGGAGAATGGCTCGGAGGAGAGTCCTGTTCTGTGAAGCTTTTGAGCCTTGCCCTTTTCGCCGGTCAATGCAAGCCGGTTGCTGCTGTAGAGAGGGGGGTTCTTGCAGATGTGAGTTAGCTCACCACCCCTACTTTGTCTTGTGTATGTTGCTTTGTGTCCTAAAGTACACCCGATTCTATGATGTCCCCTGCTGCCACTTCCTCCCCTCCCCTTCCCTCCCCATTTAGGACAAGGTAGAATAAATTAAGCAGAAATTCATAGCAACCAAAGTGACATGGATTTTCACGGATTATCTGTATTTTCTCCTTCTTGCATTTTTTAAAAAATAACTATCATCTCTGGTATCCCATCTAGGCCTCCTTTGCCAACAGTGTAAGTTGGAATTCTTTTTTTTTTTTTTTGGATCACTCTGTGACTGCACAATTACACTGCATATCTGTGATGTAAGTCTGTATCTATCTTGAAGATGTGTGGGCTACAGGAGACACTTTCTGAATCAGAACGTGCACTCCTCAGTGTCTGCAGTTTTGCAGGAGTTGATAGAATTTGGGGCTACTGTGGGGGTGTCCTGGTTTCACTCTAGAATGTAGGTGGGAGTTGATCTGGGAGGGACTTCTCATGTTTCGCTTTTAGTTGATGGAGCAGCTGCAAAGGAACAACGCACTTAGTTCTAAATTTTATAGTTTGGCGATTTAAAGGAGAAATGGTGTTTTCCCCTTTCATCTGAATTCCTTTGAAATCTTTTTTGCTGTCTTTGAGAAAAAGACTATCTCATCATAAACCTACTGGTAAACCCCCATAAAATAACTATGGTCTCCTGTTGTACCTTTCTGCTGAGAATTTTCACATCTCTTTTCTCTTTGATGTACACAGTACAGCATGAAGGAAGGCATGGAAGACAGCTCCATTTTACAGACATGAACCCGATGCCCAGGGAGGGGAAATGGTTTGTCCACAGTTATAAAGGATTAGGGGCACACTTATTTATTTCCATAAGTGTCATAAACTATTTGAGTGGGTAGTTTACCCGTATTGCTTTTCACCAAAGAGAACCACCCATTTTAGCACTGCTGAAAATGCTAAGCGAATATTTGGTTATAATTTGAAGGGGGGGGGGGCGGAGGGAGGAACTGCGATCTACATCTTTCAGTAGCTGGGCTTCTCTAGAAAGCTCATGAAGTCCGTGCATGACCAGTGTGACAGGGAGAGCTGGGCAGGCAAGGACTGTTTGTGTCAGGTTGAGCTTTAACTTAATGGAGCAGACAGAAAAGCCACAAAACGGAACAGAGAAAGCTGAATTTTAAAGGCTGAAGGGTTAATTTTTAAAACTTCATCTGAACACAAGTTGGAGAGACTACGTTCACCGAATCTCTGAGACCCGTGTTCGCAGCATAAAATCAAGAGTTTAGAGTGCAAGTAAGTAAATTACTCTGTACACATGATTTAGTGTGACAAGTTCACCAAGAAATGATTTAGAACAGCTGAAAACCAGCAGGGCTGAGATTATGGCCTTGTTACCAGCAGGAGCAGGAGCAGGAGCAGGAGCAGAGTGGCAGGAGCAGCTCACTCTGTGGAGATCCAGGCACAGGAGAGAAAGCTAGGCTATCAGGGCAAATGATTGGATGCTTTTGCTTTGCCTATTTACTTTTAACCTCAAACCATATGGTATTTTCTATTAAAACACTCAGGGGAAACTTAAAAGGAATCTAAGCTGTCCATCTCTTGCATGGCAGCCTGTCCTTCACTTCCACACCCTGTGGCATTTCTTTCTACCTATTTTGTCCCATTGTCTTTGGAGTTTTTCTTGTGTTCAAATTATAGGTTCATGCCCTGACTGAAATCATTCCATATTTTATTGAAGTTACTGGTTTTGCCAATAAAAGTTAAAAAAAAAAAAAAAAGGAAAAGAAAAGAAAAGAAAAAAGAAAAAGTTGCCAATTCTCTGTTTTCTTCCTTTTTTTATAATTTTTACTCATTTTCCTTAACTTCCACTAGGGGGCAGGTACTAACAAGAGGAGACACAGTGAGACTTAATAGAGATTAAAAGCAATACCAGAAAAGCAAGGAATGGTCTTTATTAACTTCAGCCCTATCTTCCTTTTTTAAGTTGTGGTAACTGTAAATTTGCCTATTAGCCTAGCCCATGGGTGTGTTTTCCCCTGGACATTAATGCTCAAGATTCCAGTAAATAAAAATGCTAAGAGGTATGTGTGTGTGTGTGTGTGTGTGTGTGTGTGTGTGTGTGTGTGGCAGGCAAGAACACCAACTAAAAGTTTCAAGCAATCTAAATGAGGGAGATGAAAATAAAATGAGATCCTTAAGGAACATTCAAAAATCACAAAATGCTGAAGCAAGAAAATTCGAAGAATTGTAAAGCCATAGGGTGTTGATAGTGTTCCAGAAGAGTGGGCCTTCACTGACAGGATTGGTAGGTAGAGAAAGGCAGAGAAGGAAAGTGGAGGAGTTCTATGAGACAATGGGATTTAGTGTGCAGGAACAGTGTACCATATACTAAAAAACAAGGCTGCACACCTAGGGACTTTAAGAGACAGAGAATCTGAATATTGTCGATGGTGAGTGAGGTCATCTGTTAGCCAGTGAAGAGAAACAGTAATCGAAGGCAGTAGTTTTGGTAATGTGCCAGCGGTATCCTGTTGACTGGCGCTGGCACTTAGTAAAGGCTTCCTCCTGAGGCAGGAATCAGGAGCTTCTTCACAGGGGTTCCTACAAGAGAAAGTTCTGTGCTATCACATTGGAGGCTGAGAAGGACATGGTGGATGTATAGTCCTATCCAGACTGGGGAGGGTAAAAAAAATCCAGCGTTTATGATTCACGTGTGGAGTGGATATTCCCTCAAAGCCAGTGCAGAGGTGCGAAGGAGAGAGGCAGCACCAGAGTGCTTGCATTCAGGTCTGAGGAGCCATAACTATCTCCTCTCTGTCACAGAGAGAGGGTCTAAGAAGAAAGGAGAAAGGAGACAGTATCGCCTACAAACTATGTGATTAGCCTTAACTAGGAGGGAAGAAATGCTCTGAGATTGAGAAATGAGTTAAGGCAGACATTAGACAGAAGGTGGTTGGCCAGCTCAGAATGGGTAGAGCAAGATGGGCATAAATGAACATACTCACTGTAGGTAAACTTCTTCTCAGTAGGACCAGAGACATTTCAGCTGATGATGCTACCTAGAAAAACCATCCAGTGGTCACTTGGTTTTATACTGTTTTTGAAGAATTAATCTATGCAGTCATTAAGATGTTATCAGTGACAATGAGCTTTTTCGTCTTCTCTCTTGATGTCGCTGACTCCCATTTCCTAGCTTCTGACTGGGTCTAGGGAGCCAGACAGTGGGTGTCACATAGCTTTGGATTGAGTGATGATAACCCTTCCTAAGAAGTAATCACCATCTGTCACTTTAAGAAATGATAAATATCACAGATACATGTAATTTTTGTGAGAGTTGGTTATAATCTACTCATTTCAGTCTCCGCCAAGAACTGACATCATTCCATTCATGCATCAACACTAAGCAAAGAATTTCGAGGTTTTCATATGTAGAATTTAGATGCCTTGCATGTCTGAAAACCTAGGCTCCGTTCTGAGAATACAATCTCATTTGTGTTTAAGGAAAGTGCCACAGAGAAGTTCCAGCTCTGAGGTTCAACTGGCAGTTCTTCTATTTAGAAACAAGTAATTCTCTTTAAGCATCTCTGCTGCTTTGAACTGCCGATGCTGTGGCAGGTTTTCCTGGAGTTTAGTGTACAGATGTCCTTGCATCTCAATCATCACTCTCGTTGGGCACAGCAAGGAGCTGAGCTAGGTGGGTTGTTTAGAGACTCTGCATTGATCAGAACACTGGTGCATATTCAGATATTCTGTGTGCTACTCTGAGAAAGGCTTGACTTTGAGCATAGAAAGCAAAGAGTCTTTTGAAGTTCCTGAAAACTGAAGACTGTTTACTGGCAATGCTCTCAGTCATAAGAGCAAAGGCTGTCCTTAACGGGGGTTCTGAGTGGAACATTCTAGATATGTACCATAGTTGCCGCATCTTATATTCTTCACTTTTTCCTGAAATTCCAAGTTTCTGTCTGCTCGTATTCCCCAAATCAATTTTATATCTTTAATTTTTATTTTACTCTTTGCTGTTAAGAAGTTCACTTTTCTTTTATATGAAAATAATGAAATAACTATTTTGTGTCTGACACCTCTAATTTCATTATCCAAGCATATTTTTGCTGGTGATGTGTAGAATTACGGGTTGAGACTGATTCTCCCCTCTTTAGCACCTAGAGAACTCTAATGAAAGTCAGCCTGCCAGTCATATTGATTCTCCGAATTTAATCTCCTATCTTTGAAGGTTGATTTCAACATTTTGTCCTTACTGCTGGGTTTTTGCCACATTTAATCTGTCTGTGGTATTTTCATCTATAAGGGATTGCTTAACCTCTTCGGATACTATTTCCTCATTTGTGAAACAAATAGGTATGACAGTATTAAGAGATATAAGCTTTTCAGACAGGAAGGACTTAAGACACTTCCATGTTAAATTTTTCCATTTTTGTGTGTGGACCAATGAAGATGAGCCATGTTCAAGGAACTACTGACAGTGTCACCTCACCTTTCCGTAGTTGAGTTGGCTTGGAGCAGCTCTCTAGAAAGGCAAGAGCTGTGGGGAGAGAAAGAGAGACCCCCAGGTTTTATATGTGACGCACTGAAAATGACAGTGACACTCAATGGCAGCTATTGAGATTCTTGTTTAGGAAAAATAAGTCACAGCTAAAATGAGGCTCGATCATTTGGTCAACCAGCAAGTAAGGGAGTGTTCTGCTATGTGTCAGTGACCGTGCTTTATACTGGGGGATACTTGATGGAAGATGTGGAGGGGCTGGAGATGCAGCTCAGCAGCAGAACAATGGTTTGCCATGTGCAGCCTTTAAACTAAGCTCCAGCACTTCAAAGAGACAGCTAGCTATATATCCTACT